AAGGGTTCATTTGCACTTTAAGTCAAGACTGAACTTGATTCTTTTATTTATCAAGTTCAACCTCAACTTGAAGCCATTGTTTCATGATCAGTCTAGCAAATCCAGGAAAGGTCTATATATGGACCAACCTTTTGATAAACAGAAAGCAAAAATGACATGTGTTTTCTTGTGCACTACGCCAGGGGACAGCTAGTTCACAGATTAAACTTAAAAAATTGGGGGATCCAGAAAAATTAATAGGTTATAGGAGATTTCAGGTAAATAGGCCCTTTGCAGTTAACGGTCACGTGTCTGTACTTGTGAGCAAAATTTTTTATTTATTTTAAATTGGTGATTCTTTTTAGCTACTTGTAAAGAACTGAATGAAACGATGTGTAACCAGTGTGTTACAAAATGCAGTTTTATTACGACCTCTCGAAACAGGTTGTAGAAATTTTATTTGCTCACCAGTATATAATTTCACCCATGGGAATCAAGATGTTCTTTCATTTGCTCTCAGTGAATTAATCAGCACGTGATTACTGAGCTGCAATTGGCCTATTGTTGATGAAATATGTAAATCAACCCTTGCTAGACAAAAGGTATATACCAGTAATTCATTGACCAATTCGCATAATAGAATATTGAGACCTTTCTGACAAATATTGAACAATATCTAGCAGAGAGCTTGCTACAAATCACATTTTAAAATAATCTTATTCCAGCAAGAATGTCAGCTTACAACACGTAGGCAAGTCGATCATTACAGGTTTTGTCCCGATAAACGTGAGGAAAATATCTTAAACCAATTCTAAATTAATGGACCAATACCTTGGGTTATGAAGCTTTGACACTGATATTTAGATAACACAGTATTAGATTCACCTAAGAAGGTTTATTAATGTTAACCGAAGGATTTTTAAAAATTTTCTTTTTTGAATGTTATCTTTAGCTTGTTACTTGACTAAATGCTTGGCTGGTTGAATCAATACAAGAAGACTTGTAGAAAGAATAATGAATAAATATCATGTCTAGCAAAGCTTACCTGTTTTGCAGCTGTTTTGAGAGTTAAAAAATCAAATATTTAGCGAGTTAGTAAATCTGGACAGAAAAAGACGAACCTACCAATGCAACCCATGGGACCTGCCACCACAGGATACCCACAACACCAATAGATATCACGTGACTGTTCGTTTGGGTCAAAGGTTATGCTTTTGCAAGCCCTTTTTGTTTTTGTTTTTTGTTGTTTTTATTTTATTTACTCTCTTTACCTTTTTTCTCTTTCTTTGGTTGTTTCCCCCCTGCTAAGTTGTTGTTTCGCTTAAAAAAGAAGATGGGAGAAAAGGCCATGCAAGAAAATTGGAAAAAAATTAGACAGATAAATATATTACAGATAAAGACATTTTGAGAAATATTTTTTAATGGCTTTTCAAGATCGACAGTTACGTTACAAAATCTTCTTTCTTAATGCCGGCAATTAAAGTGAGGCCGGGCAACTCCGTGAAACCCCACCCCTCAACTCCGCGAGTAGGGTGTTCGGCGGTCGATTTTGAAAAAGACCCCTAAAAGGTACGCATAATCTAAAGTTGTGTTGATTTCACTTTATATCAGGTTTCTTTAAAATCTTGTTTCTTCTGTTCATGTTTGTTCAATGAAGAAAAATAAATAATAGATGATCCTAAACGGTACGGAGTTATGTTACCAGGGCGCTTATTAGGTAATTAGGTAATTACCTAATTAGCGCCCTGGTTTTGAACGCTTAGAACCCGCGGCAGTCAAACTTTGTGCAGCTCGGCGACCGTTACAGCGCGGTCGGCCTGGAATCTAGCCAAAACCAGGGCGCTTATTAGGTAGGGCGGCGAAACCACTGGTCATTGTCTTGTTCGACGTGTGATGCGGAGGAGGACTGGGAACTAGTCACGTTTTCACGCTTCGCGCCGCTACTCTTGTCCCGCTCGTCTGCTATCATCGGAAGCAAATTTTTCAAAAATTGCGCCATTCAAGGTCTAATGCTCAAATCCTTCTAGTAAATCACTTTTAGTGATGATACATGGAGTAGATTTTGTCTTTTCGAAGTGTTCCCATCATATGGATAAAAGCTTTCGATTTTTTTCGTAAACTGCTGAGGTAACGGTTGAGAGTAGAAAAAAGACGTAAGAAGCGCGTTAAGGAACTCTTCAATGGTCTGTTTTCCAATAAAAACTTAAAGCACTTATCCAAGATTCATATATGCTATATTATGATGAATCATCTTTCAAATGGTAGATTTTTGAATTGATGATTATGATATAAAGTTGTTACGATTTTTTTTAATTTGCTAACTGTGTAATTTTTGTGTACGTCTATGTGAAATGTACAACACTATCTTAGTACAGTGGGCAAATATGACTGATAAGAATCAATTTTCAGATCGTGCAAACAGAATTAAAGCGAGAAAGAAAATGAGCGATTCCTTGGACGCATTGTTTGTCACTGTTTCAGCAAGAGATCTTTCATGTTCAATGATGTTTGATTCTGGATGACTTAACCTCTCCAATGAGAAAGAAGGGGAATGTTTCGTAACGTTTGTGAGAAGGAAACCTTCATTCTTTTCCATGTCCTTTCCTTGAATCATTTAATCGTCCTGTTCAGGGTTATGGTTATCATAATCGGTATCGTATTTCCAGAAAATCTTGGTCAAATTCGCACAAAATAGGCTCAAAACTATTGCCCACCATCATAGTTTGACCGATTTGGGCGAAAACAAAAGGAAAGTCGTTCCCAGTCCCCCACATCACACATTTTTTGCTCGGCCTGCCCGTTTCGCCGCCCTACCTAATAAGCGCCCTGTTCAAAACGGCTGTTAATTTTGGAAATCTCGCTGGATTTATTCTTCGAGGGGATCATTTTAATGTGATATTTTTGGATTAACGTGAAGGGCAACTATCWGGCTTTCGTGTTGTGGAGTATCGAAGCAAGGGGACGCGTTTTAGTCTGCGAATCGATGGATTTTCGAGAGCGGCTCGGTCCGTTGGCCTAATGGAGGTCTCCTTCCTTTTCTTCTTCTTAGTAGTGATGGGAGAACTCAGCTAAAATCCACCAAATCGTCCTGAAATCGCTACCAGACAACAATAAAAACAAAAGGAACACCACATGAAGGTTTGGATTTATTTTCCTTATTTTTCACAGAGTTATAAGCTAAACAGTAATTTCCCACACATTGCCTTATAAATCGTCCTGTTATATGAGATTGGGCTTCCTGTGAAGAGGCCGTGACAGAGAATTTCTAATAGATTGGGCCGATTGGTCTCTAGGTTAAGTATTCATCGTTCAAATGTGATTGCAAGCAAGTAGAAGGCACACAATCTGCAGTTTTTTGCTTTTCTTTTAGCCTTTGTATCGACCTTATAACCTCAAATTTAGTCTTTAACGTTTGTTAACAGTTTGTGAACCGCTTTGGTCGTTTTTCTAACATGGATTTGGTCGCTTTGGTTGCCTTTATTTGATCACCACGAGTTAAATAAATTTGAACCGTAGCCATCTTACCACGAGATAACCAGAACAAATTGTATTCTTCATGTAGAATCAATGCTGAAAATATTGAGTTAGGGGTCATAGGCACTTTAAAGACAAGCGCGTATTACAAGGATTGATTTGTTGCCTTCACAAGCGTTATTGTTATCTTTTTTGTTATGTTGTTGTTTGAAAGTCAATTCTGATTGGCCAAAGGAGTTCAATATAACATTCCTAGAATATTTCTAGGTGCCCACAGTGTTTCGATTCGCGCTGTAACATGGCGACCACATCTTTCGTCCTTTTATTCTCATGTGAAGGATAGGTAGTAATGTTTGTCTTTGGTGTTGGTTGTTCGTCCTTTCAGTCCGTTCTACGTAGCATGTTGCCAAAATTACACTTTACTTGACTAAAGCTAGCGGATCTGTAATCAGTGATAGATTGTTGCAATTTTACTTTTTCGTAAAATCCTGAATTTAGAATCTAAAAATCACAATAAATTCAGCTTTTACAATTTATTTTCTTTCTTACGACGTTAATAATCCTACCCTTTTCATGGATTTCAAGAATAAATTCAAATGATTAGAAAAGGTACCTTTTTAGTTGATAAAAAGGTAGAAAATTTAGTGTTTTCTCTTATGTGATGAAATTTCCCACCTTTTTTCAAGTTTCACCCTTTAAAGGAAATTCGAAAAGCAGTACTAAAAGGTACCTTTTTCTATCAAAACTAGTCACTGCAGTATTATTAATTGATTTTAATTGAAAAAGCAAATGTAAAAAATGTAAAAGCTGAATTTATTGTGATTTTTAGATTCTAAATTCAGGATTTTACGAAAAAGTAGAATTGCCACAATCTATCACTGATTATCTTCATCATTCATCCTCATTGGTCGGGATCCGCGATGTTGTTTTTGTTGACAACAACACATTCGTTTCCACCAGCACACAATTCCAACCGCTATAGCAATAAAAGCAAGAAGAACAGTAATAACGATGCCAGCTATTTCTCCACCCGTCAAACCTTTTTCAACAAAGAAGAAAAATATGTCTGAGCTAAAAAATCCAATAAAGTCTGTGAACAGGTCCTAAAGGGAAGAGCGTGGGATAAAGAAAAGACATACTTTTGATCAATTAAAACTATCAACAAACTATGGGCTGCTTGTTTAGAGCATTAGTTGATATGAATCTTGAAACCCTCTAGCGATTGTTTCTGTCGCGACGAAGAAGGTGTTGGTGGTTTTGGTGGACGTCAATCACAAGGCGTTTCCATAACATTGTCGGAAAACACAAAGCTATAAGGGCACGTGCCTATAGGATGTCATGGAAACGCCTTGATTGACGTTCACCAAAACCTTCTTCGTCGCGACAGAAACAATCGCTAGAGCGGCGCGTGTGATTGAGAATGGATATAATATTGAATATTGCGTAAGATAGTATAATAACAGTCGAGGTGTAGCCGTATTGCACTCGCCTCTCACCTCTCTGGAGTCTCGGGTTTGATTGCGGGATTCGGTATCAAACGTGAGTAGAGATTAGGTCTCTCCCTTCCTTCAGTGATTTGAGGGTTTTACTCCGGTTTTCTTCCCTCCACAAAAACACGCTAAATTCCAATTGGATCTGTGAGTTAGCAGTGCCCTAGATTTGACCAGCCCAGAGATTGTTTCAAAGTTCGATCTGTGAGTTAGCCATACCCTGACTGAGATCAATCCAGAGGGTGTTTCAGGGTTTAATCTGTGAGGAGTTAGCCATGTCCTGGCTTTGATCAGCCCAGAGGTTTTTATTTTTACTTTTTATTTTTGCGCGATAAAATCTGAAAGTGTTTTTCAATATCATGTCAGAACAACAGATCGATTCTGAATTCGACAAACATGGTGCATGGTGGTCTAGCTTGGGTATCAACAACACCGTATAAAACATGATGAACAAAAAATGTTTGTACCCAAGCTATACTACAATGCACCTTGTTCCCTTTCCTTGGTCTAGCTCTGATCTACAATATGAGGCATGACGAACAAAAGATGTGTGTACCCAAGCTAGACTACAATGCACCTCGTTCGCTATCTCAGAAAATGTATATTCCTTTTTTTAAAAAGGAAAAAAGAAAAGATTCATGTAAAGCTGACCAAATCACAGATAACTGTGAGACCCTGTGGTATTTGTCATTTGTTTTGGGCTGTTCAGTAATCAAACAACAATCATAATTAACCTTTTTCTGTCGAAGTCGTCGTTCCATTAGTGGATGTAGTCGTGCTTGATGCAGTAGTTGATGTTGTCCCTGGAAAGAAAATTACCGTCATTTGGGATAAATGCTAGTCTCCTTTGTATTCTTTCTTAGTGATAATGGTTTGAATTTTAATAGTCATCAGTTTAATCTAGTGGACTCTCATTTTCTTAATATTATTGTCTTATACGCACTATGTATATTTCAGCCTTTAAATTTGAATTTTCGGGCCGAGCATAAGAACTTCTGCTGAGGAGACTAGATAAATGCAGGACTCTCAACAAAAACAGAAAAATAAAAGAGTAAACTAGATAAAGTAAATTAAGCTACTAACCAGGGTCACCAGACAAAGACGTACCTGGAAGTGGTGATGCTGTTGGCACTACGGTATCTGTATCAACAATAAGAGTAATAATAAATATCTAACCTAATAGTAGGTTTAATATGAAGGATGAATACTTTGTTCAAAGGAGGCGGGTATGCGTGCAGTAGTTAACGTAGATCTGCAGCGTTACTTTCCTCGATTCTTGTCGATGCTTTCTCTGCTCATTACGCATGCTCGGTAGAGCTTTTTCTGCTCATTACGCATGCTCGGTAACGCTTAACGGTAACGGTAACAAAATAATGGAACAAAATAAATGGTAAGAAGAAGGTACTTACCGTTTCTCTTATATAGAAGCAATATAATCGAGTCAATTGGATCGTGATAGTTGTCGTTTCTGACATTCTGGAACCTTATATGACAATGTAGACGGGAGTTGTTGAGGAAGACTGGGGTGTTGTCAAAAACGAAGATAACTCTGCAAGTGCCATTGATGTATGATGAATTCATGTGGTCTTTACAAATTTCATAATATCGGCCATGCAAACAGGGGAAGCTCATATTTGTATCACTGATTTTAGCTTCGGTGTTGTTGATTTTCAATGTAACAGATCTACATCTGCTTGGGGAAAAGCATTCTTTTTCTATTCTTTCACCAACGTAGCCTTCAATCTTATCTGTAGGATCATAAAGAGAAGCTTGAATCAATTAGAATTATATGTTTATAGGTTAAATAATCGACACTGTTGATTCGAGGAAGACGATGTAAAAACTGGATTTGGAATAATATAGCTATGCGTTTATATACGAAAGTGCCTGCTGAATGTCAGGCGGACCGCGCATGGGTGCATGGCATTGCCGCTGTGTAGTTCAAGCCCGGGATCGCAGCTTCGATCTACGACTTAACCGCGTAAATTTTTTTAGCGATGTGTTGTTTTTCTATATATTTATACTATGCAGAGTAGAACAACAGAGTACAAAACGGTCTACAAACCTCGAAGTTTGATGATTTGAATACTTCCTCGGCTATCCTTCTTTAAAGAGTCGTATTCATACGCACACTGAGTTTTGTACTTATTGAGTTCTAATGGAGCACTCTCGATGACGAAATGTGTTACGTTGGCAGTCACATATGACGTCACCTGTGAGCATATGTTATATAGCTTATGTTCTGTATTGCAGTGTTTGGTATAATCTTTTTGGCTCCATTTGGATATAACAAATCGTTCCAACTGATCGGCAGGTTCTTCAAGATTTTGGCTTAAATAACGAGCAACATTCATGTCTTTTTCTATCCGCAGCTTAATGCAAACAAGGTCCAGTTGTTCTTTAACAAATCCTGTGATTTTGGAGTCTGTAGTTTGACCTGCATGTCGATCAAAGGACCCAAAAAGATAAGATTAATTCATGGCATAATTCATGTCTGTCTGTCTGTCTGTCTGTCTGTCTGTCTGCTTCAACAACCAAATATAAAACAGCTGCTTTAGTACAAAGAAAGAGCAAAAATAATAATAATAATAATAATAAATTAATAAAAGATAAAAATCAGTACAAAATAAAGTCATAACGAATGATTTTAGCTCATAACAAGACTTCATTGCACAATTTTTGAGTAATATTTCAATATCATTTTTAGGCGAAAAAGATTTTTCTATTTGCAAATTTAACATGACAACGTATATGTTACGTCATCGTCCATGGAGCGCGAATATAACCGTTTCGAGTCGCTGAAAAGTAGGGAAACAAAAGAAAACCACAAAATATATAATATGATATAATTATCATAATATAATAATAATAATAAGGATATTGCTTATATCGTATATATATATATATATATATATATATAATCGATAATGAAAAAGTATTATTATTATTATTATTATTATTATTATATTATGATTATAAAGACACCGTTTACAGGTTCAAAACTTATTTAACTAAAGTGCTTTTTAGGCTTTATTTTGTTATGCAGGTTAAATTACTAGCAAAAAAAAAAGATATGCTTCTAGTTATAAATTAGAAATCACCTATGATATATGCTAGATAAATACAGCAGAGTCAAATGGAAGCTATGATATTACTTCAAATAAATAATATATGTTATTGATCATGCATAGAACATACCTGAACACCAGTCACAGCCTGGGAAGAGTAGGAGAAATAAGAAAGATATCATCAAACTCTTATTAGACATTATATATGCCGATCTTGATCACAATACTATTTTACCCGAACACCACAGTAAACGTGTTGGGAGAGTAGGAGAAGAAAGGAAGATATCATCAACGTTATTAGACAATGGAGTTGGCACGTTTATTATTCATGATGAGGAAGGCGTTTCGGATCATGCCGATACATGTCATTTACAGTTCATATAGTACGTCTTGGTATATGATAACACGGAATGCTCGATATAAATAGATCATACACAACATGTTCAACCAGAACATTCTCAGCTCTGTTTACGAAAGATCCTGTCTCGTGAAATAAGTTATGTAGAATAATTTCTTTAGCAATAGTAAACTCTTTCTTTCTTGTTCTCTTCCTGTTTCTATTTCCTTTTATCTTTCATTCATTCTTTTCCTCAATCTCGAGCCCAGAGCCTTCCGGAGTTTTGGTCAGCGGGCGTGCGGGCGACAGGAAGGCGCTGAGATTCATTCAT